TAGCAGGATACAAAATTAACGCCAAGAAATATATGGCATTTCTATACACCAACAATGAACTTACAGAAAGAGAGACTAAAAAAGCAATCCCATTTACCATCGCACCAAAAAAATTAAGATACCTAGGAAAAAACTTGACTAAGGAGGTAAAAGACCTATACATGGAAAACTACAGGACACTGAAAAAGGAGATAGAGGAAGATATAAACAGATGGAAGAACATACCGTGTTCATGGATTGGTAGAATCAACATCATCAAGATGTCCATACTACCCAAAGCAATCTATAGATTCAATGCACTCCCCATTAAAATACCAACGGCATATATCACAGACCTAGAACAAACATTCCAAAAATTCATCTCCAATAAAGAAGACCCCAAATAGCTGCAGCAATCCTGAGAAAGAAAAACAAAGTAGGTGGGATCTCAATACCAGATATCAAGCTGTATTACAAAGCCACTGTTCTCAAAACAGCCTGGTACTGGCACAAGAACAGACATATAGATCAATGGAATAGAATAGAGAACCCAGAAATCGACCCAAACCACTATGCTAATTAATATTCGACAAAGGAGGCATGAACATACAGTGGAGTCAAGACAGCCTCTTCAATAAATGGTGTTGGGAAAATTGGACAGATACATGCAAAAAATGAAACTAGAAAACCAACTTACACCATACACAAAATAAACTCAAAATGGATAAAGGACTGAAACATAAGACAGGAAACCATAAAAATACTAGAGGAATCCACAGGCAGCAAAATCTCAGACATATGCCGAAGCAATTTCTTCATTGATACTGCTCCTAGGGCAATGGAAACTAAGGAGAAAATAAACAAATGGGACTACATCAAAATAAAAAGCTTTTGCTCAGCAAAGAAAACCATCAACAAAACAACAAGAAAGCCCACTGCATGGGAGAACATATTTGAAAATGTTATCAATGATAAGGGTTTAATCTCCAACATTTACAGGGAACTCATACAACTTAACAAAAGGAAGATAAACAACCCAATCAAAAAATGGGCAACGGACTTAAATAGATACTTTTTGAAAGAAGACAGAAGAAAGGCCAAAGGACATATGAAAACATGTTTAAAGTCACTAATCATCCAAGAGTTGCAAATCAAAACAACAATGCAGTACCATCTCACACCTGTCAGAATGGCTATCATCAACAAATCAACAAATGAAAAGTGCTGGCGAGGATGTGGAGAAAAAGGTACCCTCGTGCACTGCTGGTGGGAATGCAGACTGGTGCAGCCACTGTGGAGAACAGTATGGAGTTTCCTCAAAAAACTAAAAATGTAACTCCCATTTGACCCAGTGATCCCACTTCTAGGAATATATCCCAAAAGACTAGAAACACCAATTAGAAAGGATATATGCACCCCTATGTTCATAGCAGCACAATTCACCATAGCTAAGATTTGGAAATAGCCTAAGTGCCCATCAGTAGATGAGTGGATTAAAAAACCGTGGTATATCTACACAATGGAATACTACACTGCGGTAAAAAAAAAGAAGGAACTTGCCTTGACCGGTTTGGCTGAGTGGATGGAGCATCGGCCTGTGGACTGAGGGGTCCCGGTTCGATTCCGGCCAAGGGCATGTACCTTGGTTGCGGGCACATCCCCAGTAGGAGGTGTGCAGGAGGCAGCTGATTGATGTTTCTCTCTCATCGATGTTTCTAACTCTCTATCCCTCTCTCTTCCTCTCTGTAAAAAATCAATGAAATATATTTAAAAAGAAAAAAAAAGAAGGAACTCTTGCCATTTGCAACAGCATGGATGGAAATGGAGAGCATTATGTTAAGTGAAATAAGCCAGTCAGAGAAAGATAAATACCACATGATCTCACTCATTTATGGACTATAATGAACAACATAAACTGATGAACAAAAACAGATCCAGAGAAGCATCGATCAGACCATCAAACCTCATAGAGAAGGTAGGGGAGGGTGGGGGTAAGGGGAGAGATCAACCAAAGGACTTATATGCAAGCATATAGGCCTAACCAATGGACACAGACAACAGGGGGGTGAGGGCATGTGGGGGGGGGGATAGGGGGTAATGTGGGGATAAGGACACATATGTAATAACTTAATCAATACAAAAAATTAAAAAATTAAATTTAAAAAATCATCCCAAACAAAGGTCTGCTATCTGTAGCCCAATTTCAGGATAGGGGCAACCTGGAAAGTGAAGAATTTTAAATAATTTACTCCAGCCAATCAGAATAAAATAATGGCTCCACTCATGTCAGTAAAGACTAACTGGAAAGTCTAGACTTTCACCCAAAAGGTTGCAACGAAGTGCCCCAAGACCCCTATGGAAGTAGTGTCAAAGAAGGAATCTACACTTTTACCCCCACAGAGATGTAAAGAGCTCCTACCTTCAGTGTGATGGCAGACCACCTGGGAAGTCTGGACTTCAGTACCTACCCAGCATTAATGAATCACCTCTTTCCCTCCTCATGGATGGTGTTAGCATAAGCATAATAGAAAGTGAGGACATTCACCATCACCCTTTATTAATGAGGCCACCCCCACTGTGGTGTCAGTGGAGACAATGGGAAGAGCTGGACGTGAAGCCCACCCAGCAATAACAAGGAGCCCACCACCTTGGGTACAAGCAAGGCTGAATGGGAGACCTGGACTACCAGCTCCACATCATAGTAACAAGAGCTGCTTCACCATCTGCTGTCAAAGCAATATTTGATAAAGCTAGAGAAAATAAACATTTAAATAAAAGTCAGAGTCCCATGATACAAAATGTCCATGGTTAAATAAAATATTACTAGTCATACTGTGAATGAGAATGTTCTCAAACTGAATGAAAAAGACAATCAGTACTGAAATGACAAACATGTTAAAATTATCTGACAAAGCTTTAATGTAGCCATGATAAAAATGCTACAGCAAGCAATTATGAACATGCTTGAATATAATAGAAATTACTCAATCTGAAAAACAGAGTGAAAATAGACTGGAAAAATGAACAGAGCCCTGTGTCTATGGAATTTAATAAAAGATCTAACATTCATATCATTGGATTGCTAAAAAAAAAAAAAAGAAAAGAAAAAAAAAGAAAAAGGGAGAAGTTGAAAAAATATTCAAAGAAATAATGCCTGAAAACTTTTCACATTTTGTAAGAGATTTAAACCTACAGATTCAAGAAACTGGACAAATCACAAATAGGATAAAGCAAAGAAGTTCTCATCAAGATGCATCATAATTAAACTTCAGAACACTAAATGAAAGAAAAAGTATGGAAAGCAGCAGAAAAAAATAAGTACTACCTAAAGGGAGAAACAGTCATGGCTGGTTTGGCTCAGTGGATAGAGCATCGGCCTGGGAACTGAAGGGTCGTGGGTTTGATTCCAGTCAAGGGCACATGCCTGGGTTGCAGGCTCAATTCCCACTTGGGGGCATGCAGGAGGCAGCTGATCAATGATTCTCATCATTGATGTTTCTATCTCTCTCTCCCTCTTCCTTCCTCTTTGAAATCAATAAAAACATATTTCAAAGGGGGAAACAATTTGATTTTAGAGAGAGAGGAAGGGAGAGGGAGAGAGAGAAAAATATTGATTGGCTACCTCCTGTACATCCCCTACTGGGGATTGAGCCCATAACCCAGGCATGTGCCCTGACCAGGAAATGATCCAGTGACCTATTGGTTCATGGGTCGATGCTCAACCACTGAGCCACACCAACCAGGCGCTACTATGGTTTTGTAAGATGTAAACCATTGGAAAAACTGGGTTAATGATGCATACAATCTCTCTGTATTACTTCTTACATTAAATGTACATATATAATTATCTCAAAATAAGGAAGTTAAAAAGAAATGTAGCCGAAACCGGTTTGGCTCAGTGGATAGAGCGTCAGCCTGCGGACTGGGAGGTCCCAGGTTCGATTCCGGTCAAGGGCATGTACCTGGGTTGCGGGCACATCCCCTGTGGGGGATGTGCAGGAGGCGGCTGATTGATGTTTCTCTCTCATCGATGTTTCTAACTCTCTCTATCTCTCTCCCTTCCTCTCTGTGAAAAATCAATAAAAAAAATATATTAAAAAAAAAAAAAAAAAGAAATGTAGCTTCATGGCACATGCCTATACAGTATACCAAATTTTGCTAAGGTTTATTTTTGTTCTAATTAATGTGCAGACTTTGTACAAGATAAATCACAATCCCCTAAACTTTATATTACAGATTGATCAAATGTAAACCCTCTGCATATACAGACACCAAGGGAGTGAAGGCATGAGCGGGGGTGGGGGGGGGGGAGGTAATGGGGAGATAAGGACACATATGTAATACCTTAACCAATAAAGGAAATAAAATCAATTAAAACATTTAAAAAGTTACAAAACATGAATTCAAATAAATAAAGAAAATTCTAAACCCCTAATAGAACACCAGGCAAAAATTTTTACAGAGAGTTTACACAAAGGAAAATACACATGGTCAGTAAATAGGCCTTATGAAATATTTAAAATCCTTAGTTATCAGAGAACATGAAATAAAACAATACTGCACATATCTCAACTCTCTAGCAGAGCTCTGACCAAACTATGAACCTTTCCACTACACCTGGAATACAATTTGCTAGATCATTTTTCCTCAGTAATCTAAATGAATTTATAACTATTCTTTCTGCATACATCCGTTAGAATAATTTACAAGACGCTGTACTTCCCTTGACTTCTTGGGCTAAGACTTCCTAATTTGTCTTCTTGGCCTTTCTTAGAATAACACTGTCAGGAGTCTTGTCATAGCTGGTGCTCTCCAGCTACAGGCCTGTATGTGCAAAAATACGGCCCTGCTGGCATGGTTCAGTGGTTGAGCATTGACCTATGAACCAGGAGGTCACAGTTCAATTACGGATCTGGGGCACATGTCTGGGTTATGGGAGCTATGCCGATCAATGATTCTCTCTCCCTTTCCCGTCCTCTCTGAAATCAATAAAAATATATTTGAAAAAAATAGGCCTACCTCTTAGGTTTCCAATTTTTAATGTGCTTCATGGTTCAGTCTTAATCCTCTCGGTTCCTTAGGCATTCATTGGAGAAAGTGAGATAGACCTGGAAAATTTGGTGAGTGCTCCTGTTCTTTTTTTATGCTGGGAAGGAGAGGGCAGAAAAGATACAGAAATCAGAGGTTCAGAATGTGGAGTATGTCTGCTTTTGCTCTCTCTTGTGGTATGATAGAGTGCTAAGATGGTAGCCAAAGTATTTCTCTTTTATGCTCCATCTCTATTCAAAAAGTAAGAGACAGCATTATAGTCAATCAATTGCAATTCACTTTGCTCTTCTATGAAATGTACTTCTACACAAGGCATTTCATTTCATTCTAACATGATAAGTTGCATTCAGGAGTAACTCTGATTTCTGATATTTGGTTCAGTAATAATAAACAACTTCACTTATTTATTGAATAAATATATATTAACAATTTTTGCATCAGTACAGTGTTATATACTGGGAGTATAATAGTAAACAAGACAAATATGATTCTGTTCCCATTAACTTTACAATCTAGGGGCAAAAACTGACAAAATAAGGCAAAAATATAATTATAAATTTTAATAAGTACCTTTAAGAAGGAAAAAAACGCAGAAGACTGAAATGAAAAATATATAGTGGAATGGTATAGCTGGATCTATTTCAGGTCTTTGCTCAAATAAAGATCTCTTTCAACACAAAAGACTGAAATGTAAAATATGTAGTGGAATGTGACTGTTGGATCTATTACAGGTCTTGGCTCAAATATAGATCTCTTTCTGAAAGAGGTTTTTTCTGACCTGTCAGAAATTGCAATCATTCAATTCCAGCACTCCTCATCTCCTTCTCAACTTTATTTTCTCATACACACATTTAATTTGCTTACTTATCCTGATTTTCCTTTTTGTCATTTATTGATTTACTTGAGAGAAAGAGAGATGCCCTGACCAGGGATCAAACCCACAACCTTGGTGTGTCAGGATGACACTCTCACCAACTAACCCTGAGCTACCCAGACAGAACCCTATTTAGTTTTTCTGTTTCTCTAATTATATGTAACTTCTCAGAGGACAAGGACTGCTGCCTTTTAATTATGATGGTTTTTTACTTTTTCTTCTGGGAATATAATAATGCCTGGCTCAGAGTAGATGTTCAATAAATACTTGTTGAATGAAGGAATAAATGAGACAGTCAGGAAAAGACTTTCTGAGAAGGAAACATTTAAACTGAGACCTAAAGGTGGATCTACTCATGCAAGAAGTAGGGGTGGGAGGAGGGTTTTAACAGGTGCAAAAACCTTGAGGCAGAAGAGATTGACAGAGAAGGAACTTAAGGTAGCCCATGTGCTGGAAGCATGTCTTGGCAGTGACTAGAGCTGAAGTTGGAGACATGGGCAGGGAAAAGTTGTGCTGTCTTAGAGACCAACGTAAAGATAAGGTTTCATTGTAAATATAATGGGAAGAAATATAAGCAAGACTTTAATATAATCATATTATTTCAATTTAAACATGATTATTCTAGCTTCTGTATAAAACAACTCTTGGAAAATGACAACAGTGTAATCAGAGAGACCAGTTGTGAGATCACCGCAACAACAGTGATAACATTAGCCAATATTTGTTGAACACTTACTCTTAGTAGGCACTGGTCTAAGTGTTTTATATATTACTAGAGGCCTGGTGCAGGAAATTCGTGGGCTTGTTTGGCGGGGTGGGGTCCCTCAGCTCAGCCTGTGCCCTGTCACAGTCCTGGAGCCCTCAGGGGATGCCCTACCTAAGAGCGGGCCTAAGCCATCAGTCAGACATCCTTAGTGCTGCTGCAGAGGCAGGAGAGGCTCCCACCACTACTGCTGCACTCACCAGCTGTGAGCCCGGTTTCTGGCTGAGTGGCACTCTCCCTGTGGGAGCAAACTGACCACCAGGGGGAAGCTCCTGTGTTGAACATCTGCCCCCTGGTGATCAGTGCACATCATAGCAACCAGTCATTCTGCTGTTCAGTTGATTTGCATATTAGCCTTTTATTATATAGGATTCCATTTAAGTAAAACTTTAGCTTAGCTAATTGATAGATTCTATCAATATTTGTCAAATTAATTTTCTTATGCTTTACTTTTCCACATTATAGTCTGTCTATTTTAGCATAAAACCAGATATAGCAAACAACACTTTTAACAAATTAAGGCTACTATGCTAGCATTTAATGGAACTCCAAAGAACACTATGATTTTAACATATTCTTTATCTTACAATTTTTGTAAAATGTTCCTGTAGATATTTAAGAACTACACTTGATTCTTAAACATTTGAAAATGATATCTGGAGAACAGTAATCTAGCAATGTGTGGGATAACCTGGGTAGGAGATTTCTAAAGCGGAGATTCAACTGAGACATGGGTAGGGTGATCCAGATATTTCATGATAAGCCTACACTAACATAGTCGCAGTAGGAAATCTTCAAATAAGGTAAAGGCAAGAAAAAGATACAATAAAATAAAATAAAATGGAAAGAATTTGATTGAACATGGGAAAGCATTAGACAGAGGGAGGAATTAAAAGTGTCTTTAAGGCTTTGAGAAAGAGGGATATAGTGAACACTGTTAATAACCTGCCAGATCCCTTTTTGTGCCCATTGCCTCTGTCCTCAACTGCTGTGGGTATTATTGGCTAAGACTCACACTTACCCTCTTGTCTGTGGAAATGCCCTAAGGATTGTCCTCAGCAGAGAGACTGGAGCTGCCCCTCCCCCAATAGGCAGAGAGGTTGGTTCTCCCTCCAGGGGCAGCTGACAGCCAAGGACTGATTGATATGGGCTATGTTTCAAGGTGGGACAGCTCCCAGGAGCTATTATGCTTCAGAGCTCCCTGTAGGATCAGGCTGAAGATAGTTTTCAGCTGAAACCACATCTTTGCTTAGCTTCTGCCCCTGCCTTACCTGTTTCCCTCACTTCCTTACAGATTTCTCCTGAGAGTTCTTCCTCAATAAATCACGTATACAAGAATCCCTCTCTTAGGCCCTGCTTCCATGCATATTGACCTAAAATACAAGAACAGGGAAATACCGGAGTAACTGACAGATAAGTAACTTAAGAGAGGAGTGCTAATTTGGGCTTGTTTAATGGATGGGTCAGGCTTTTCCCAGCATAGTCTGAGTTCCCTTGGAGCACCCTTCACACAGGACGGGCATGATCACAGTTGGAGGAAGGGACTGCAACATACTGAATAAGTGAGGCATAACTCAAGTTCATTCTAAAATTGACTTTCTGAAATCAATTCTTTAACTCCAGAGCCAAATGCCCATAGAATTAGTCCTAAGTACATTTTATTGAGTGACCCACATTTTACAGTCTCAGTGCTTTTGAAACAGAAAATGAAGAACCCACAAGCACGAGCACCTAGGGATCAGCAAAACATCCCCAACAATTTTTCAAACGTTTGATTTTTGGCAAAACTCGATTTAACTCATTTTGCAAGCGCTCATCCCTTCAGTTTTGAAACCCTGGGGTATTTCAAAGGAAATTTAATCCATATGTTTCTGATTCATTTACATTTTAAGTCATAAAAATGTTATTTTTGTAAAAGCTGTTTGATATCCAAAAAACTTTCTGAGCCTTTTTAAAAAAAATCTCTTTTAAGTCTTGTTGGTTGGAGCCAGGGAGCAGACATGGTGTGTGATGCACCACCCGAAAATGCGATCCAGACAGACTCAACCATAGACTGACCTCAGAACAATGCTTGCGACGTCCAGCCAAAAAAATAATGGCAACGAGATGATCAAGAAAGTTGGACTGGACACCAGGGAATCCTTGAGAAACACAAAAGAAGCCAATAGCAAATGATAATGAAGATTAAAGTGGGGTTCCCTAGTGCTCCAGGGATGTGTTGGGCATAGAAGGGCTAGACTCTTGCACATTGCCAAAAGCTATCATTCCTGGCAGCTCTCAGGGAGATCTGCAGACTTGTACAGGATAAAGTCCCATGTCGCCACCAAATGCTTCATGTGAAGAAAATTATGCCTTTTTTCAGCATTGTATGTACTAATAAAACATCAAACTAACAATATCCAAAGGGTTTTAAGAAATGCATTGCATATCTTTACTATAGAGTACTAGGCAGTGATTAAAAGAATGCTGTAAATATGTATTTAGTGCTGTAGAAAGATGTTTGTGATGCATTGCTAAATAAGAAATATGGTGACAAACCTGGTCATGGGTATTAGGACCACATTCTTTGTTAAGAAAAAAGGATTATCACCAACTGTTTTCATGTACAATAAATATTAGACAATAATCTATGCAGTTGGGTAGGATGGGGTGTTTTCCTTAGTTTGCTTGGTTTTATTTTTAATTTTCCTACGATATACAATGTGTGATTTTGAAAACACACACTTTTGCCTGACTTTAAAAATTGTATAGAATAATATTCCTATAATAGCGTAAGGGTGCAATGCCCTTCTTTTCCACCTTATTTCTTCTGCTTGGGAACAACCGTGCATGGGGTCCAAGCCGGAGGGGGGACTGCCGCAAAGGCTGGATGATCAAATCGTCTGAGAGTTGATGGAATGCAAGCGTTCCTCTGGAAGCACTGAATCTATGGTGACCATGCTTTCTGAACCCCAACTGTCACACTACCTAACATGTGAGGGGTGTCCGACAGGATAGATTATTTTAAATCAGAGCTGTTCTAAAAGTCCCGGGACATACAGTTGTTCTGGCTACAGGGCACATTGCTTCAGAAAGGAACACTCTGGGGGGGGGGGGGGGGGGAAGGCTGGTAATTTATAAAACCGTAGCTGCTGGTACTGAACATCCGCGGAGTGAGAAGAACTCTCCTGATTCTCCCTCATGTAAATGCAGACAGCATTTTAAATCCTGGACTATTACTTTCACATATGTTGGCATCTAGTCAGTTGCTGCTTAAAGTACTCCCTGTGCAAAATGTACACGACTGTCAATATTAGTTATCCCATAAATTCTGAAACCTGTAAAATAAATGCTTTCTCCTGAAGAGTCACTCTCTCTAATATCATTAGCACCCCATTTTCTCTCCCCTTTACTGCCATCGCCACCAAACTCAAGGCTGGCTCCGAATTACAAGCCATTTTCCCATCTGTTCCACGGGGCTCCTAAATTCCTCTTTGATCATAAAGAGAGGGTAAAGCAAAGCAGAGACATCCTTTTCTGAGGCCCCATTAGTAGAGAAAAGTTAGATTAAAAAACCTGTAATGTTTTCATTCTTTTTTAAAAAAGTGATTTCACAGCATTTTCATCTAAAGGAATAGGGTAAGTGGGGAAAGCAATTAATTATCACATAAAATCAAGTTATTTCAAAACTCTGGACATGCTTTCTGTGTTAACATTCTGTGATGATTCTCTTTAAATATATTGCATTCTCACATTCTGGAATGGCTGAGTTTATTTTAAACAGGTATTAACTTTGAAGCTCAAAATGTTGAAAAGCTAAACCAATTGGCCTGTTGTGGCCATCACTCTCCTACCAAACACTTTCTGCTCCACTCACAGAATGTGAGTTCTCAGCTCCAGGTTCTATGGGCCAGTTCTTAAACGCTGGGAAATCTCTTTTCCAACAGACAACATTTTCTTTAAAAGCTTACCAGGGCCCCGTTATGGATAGAAGTCATGTAGAGACAGAGTCCTCTTCAAATGAGACCTATATAAATGAACCTCAAAAATCCTTTATCTCAAAGCTATGGGGTGCTTTGCTGATTGCCTGACCTGAGAAAAGGGGTGTGTGTGTGTGTGTGTGTGTGTGTGTGTGTGTGTGTGTTTGAGAGAGGTTCACCCCACAGTGTTCCACAGTTGACAGTATGCCATGGTTTTGAATTCAAATATCACCAAAGCAGTGGCATACGACATTAGACTTGAGGTGAAATATTGTTATAAGTTGTAGGTGCCTAATAAATAATGTCATCATATTAACTAATGATTCGTTTATTCACTCATTCATTTAACAACTAACTGGAGAATCCCTAAATGGCAACTCTTAGGCACTGAGAACAGAGATGAGTGAGCCAAGACCCTTGCCCTCAAAGAATTAATACTCTAGCAGTTTGAGGGGAAAAACAATTAAATAAAAAATGCACGGGGAGTTGTATAAAACAATGAAAATTGTACATGGTACTATGAGAGGGAAGGTAACTTTCTCAGAAGAGTTGGCACTTGAGATGACTTTTGAAGGACAATTAAGAGATAGTCAAACCAAGGGTGGGGGGCAAAAGGAAGAACTTGTGCAAATGCAGGGAATGAATGAATGATATTTTTGATATCTTCTAATCATGGGTATCATATCCCTACCAATAGAGCTGGTGGGCTTATAGATTCCTCGCCCCCCCCGCCAAAAAATATAAATAACAGCTGAGCTGTGATCAGATTTCTATTTTAAAACAATCAATTAGAAAGATACATTTTAGTTTATTTAAAGAATCAGTGCACCTAATTCTAAAAAGACAAATCTTTAAATCAGAAGTCCAATGACATTTTATTCTATTGCTGCTACTGAATCACCTGCAACCATGCCCAAATTTTTCGGGAAAGCAAGTGGGAAATTGTCAATGTTTGAGAAGACTAATTTTTAACAGAATAGTATGTGTTTGAAAAAAAAAATGGCTTTAGGTTTGAATTCCAGCTTCCCCACATTAACAGCTGTGTGACAAATTAGGTTTTCTGAGACTCAGTTTCCTCATCTGTTTTATTAGTGACAATTCCTTTCCTACTTATTAGAGCTGTTGGGAGAATTAAATTAACTAATGTATAAAAAAGGTCCTAATATAGTATCTGGCACTGAGTACATGTTCATTCTGTTCCCTTTCCCTTTCCTTGGGAATGGGGACGGGGGGAGGTCCAAACAGGGGAAATGAGATAGCCAAGCTCCTCATCTTGGAAGTACTGCCCATGATCAGACATTTGCCTACTTGACCTCATGCATGTCAGCCAAGCCCAACTCAGTCTGATCATGTTCTTTTTCACAGCTGGAAAAAGAATAATATTTAGTTATGGATCTTGGATGCCAGGAGAGAGTTAGTGCTCACCAATTCATTTGCACAATGAAGAGACACCTGCAGCGTAGCTTGTAGAACAGAATTGAATTGATATAAAAAATATTTCCCATGGCAGCAAAGACACTTACAGTTAATGAGCTAATAAATATTGTCAAGTGACCTTTCTCTTGCCAAGTATTACATTGTAAAGAGAGGGGGAGGAGAGATTAGAACTGTGCATTTGCTGCAGAGTTCAAATCCTGGGCTTCTTCTGGGTAACTTTTATCCCTATTGGCCATATTTTAGGCTTGTCAGTTCACTAATTCCCCATATTGTTTGATACTGCAAGTTATCTAGGCCAGAGACCTCTTTCTTATAGGCTAATGTCTGATGGAAAGCATAGTGCTCTTGTTCATCTCAGGAATGGCCCTTTGCACATTTGCTTCTTCTGTTGATAGAGTGAAGGATGGATTGGTATTCTCTGCTTACCCACCTACTCCTGAATTTCTGACACAAAAACTGTGAGATAATATGTATTGCATTAAGCCACTAAGTTTTGCAAGTAATATATTATGCAGCAAACAATAACAAATAGAGGTAAAATATAAGATGTGTTTTTGTAGCTGTAGTGAGGCATAAAACTCCATTACCTTTGACTCCTCTCATGCTTAATTATGGATTGCAGAATCCATTTGCTCTGAACACTCATTTTTCCCAAAGAAATGGTGAGTTTCTCTTTATTCTTCCTGGAGCTGTTTCAATGTCTACCTATAAGAAATAGCAAGAAGATAATTTTATGTGTAAGTTCCAGCCCTCAGATCTCTGGGAAAAGGTATCGTCCCAGTGCAATGTGTTAGCCCTGAATGTGCTCACTCTTCCTGTGCTTATCTTCACTCTCCTCCTCTTCCCTTGAGCTCTCCTTCTCAACTGCCAGGTGTTTCCCAGGGGACAAGGACTAGCTGGGTGGGAGTGCTTGCTGCAGAGAAGGTGCACCTGGGAGATGGTTGGGTTGGGAGCCAGCTACAAGGCAAGAGCTGTCTTGCTTAAGCCTGAAGAAAATGAATGATTATTTCTAGAATGGAGACATAAAAATTAATCAAAGAGGGCCTGAGTCATAAGCAAGAGAGGGATAGAAAACTGCCTCCTTTTGGGGGTGCAAGCTTAAGATTTGGCTGGTGGGGCAGTTAAGTACTAAGAACTCTAGCAGCATTAGGATGTCCTGATGTTTTTTTCTATCATCTTTGGTGAGATCACAGGCCCCTAACTTTCCTCCCATCAAAGTAGCTGAACTTTTACTGTTTCTCCTTCCATTGATGGGTCTCTAAATGTTGGAATGCCACAGAATTTAATCTTGGGTTTCTTTTTCTATGCACTCACTAACTGACATCATCTTGACCCATGGCTTGAACCAATACGGCAATGACCCTGGATCTACATCTTTGGACACTGTTCTGGAGTCGAGATACATCCACCATATGTCTACTTGGGTATCTAAAAGACCACATGCCCCACAATTTCCACCTCACAACACATCAGCTTTTACTCTGTCTGCTTGCTCGCTTCACCAACTGCCCCAGCCCCCAATCTGGAAGTTAACTGGATCCCTCTCTTTCTCTGAATTTCCACATAAAACTCATCAGCAGCTGTTCTTTAAATTTATTTCCAAAACTGACCCTCTTCTCTCATCTAGCCTGCTTATCACAGTAGCCTAATGTGTCTTGCTCCAACTCTTCCTCTCAATGGCCTATTTGCTACTTCATAGCCAACCATAAGCATAAACAATGATTCACATCCTATTTTCCAATCTTTTTGTTTTTACTTCCCTGAGAACAAAATTTAAACTTCTCTCCTTGGCATTGTAAAGCCCTCTATAATCTTCCTCTACTTATATGTTGTCTCTCACTCACCCTTCCAAACACACTGCCTCTCTTCTGTTTCTCAAACATATCAGGCCCCTTCTTGTCTTTGGACCTTTGCACATGCTATGCCCTATGCTTGAATTCTCTCCTTCATGATATGTTACTTCTTGACATTTGGTCTTCAATTTTAGTACATTTTCCTCAGATTGGTCATTCCCAACCCCTTCTCTAAAGTGGCCATTCGGCCTCTCCCTACATCTCCTTTGCCTAGCTCTATCAAAAGTATCTGAATTATTTATTTCTTATTTTCTTTCTTATAATTTTTATCTTTTTGACTGTTAGATTTCCTTCACCTAGAACAGTTCCTGGCACAAAGTAAGGTCTCAGTTAATACTCGTGAAATAAATTAATGAATGGCGGCCCATGTCCCTATCATAAGACTCAATAATATTACCCAATTCTCCCCACTATTAAATTTTTGGTGAGCTTCTTTGATGTGTGGCAGTCAGAAATTTGGAAACAAGCAAGGGTTTCTGTCTGTCTGTTGGATGTTTGTGTCCTGAGAACAGTACGGTGCTTCATTTCCTGGAGGGCTTGGTGACAGGGCTGAGACAGGAGGCTGCCATATGGTACATTGGTATGCACCTGCCATGAGAACAGGGTGAATAGCACTCATTGGAATAATCAGGAAAATTATGGAAAGTGACTGGCTACAGAGGACTTGACATTTTGCTTCAAAGCTCTGAGGGGGCGGGGGGGGGGGGGGAGGCAGAACTGTTAAAAAAAAAAAGGTATACATATTAATTGGCATGTCATACAGCTCCCCCAAGTAACACTAATTTGAGAAGAAAAAACTTTCCAACATTTTTTAGAGCTGAATACCAAGTACTTGAGCTTTATTATGTGCAGGCAGGGGAACTTTCAGTGTGTACACATCCCAAATGCATATGTATTATGCATCTCTACTAATACCTGAAGGTGCAACTAAAAGTCACAGCTAAAAGATAAACAAAGCGTTACCTTCCACCCACCTTTCTTCAAGTTCTCCAAGGAACAGTGACATTATTTACAAAAATTATGAGCTATCATTATAATATAAAAAATGCTGAGTTGCTTAGGCAGAGGCATTTTAACTATGCGGATGGCTGGGAAATGCAAAGGCCAAATATAGTCATTTTTCTGAAGACTACTAGTACATTAGAGAATTTCAATTGCTTAATATAATATTAAAGGTTGCAAATGTTCAATAATAGCTGCTTTGACCAAAAGAAAAAAGAAGAAGGAGGAAAATAAAATAAGAGAAAACGTGAAAAAATGCCAAGTAGTCCCCTTTGTGCATGACAGCAAGTAAAAGTGGTATCTCATGAGAAAGCATCAGATGGATGAAAAACGAAGGAAAAGGATCCACTCTTGAAACTGAAGTGACTGTGACATCCGGCTTCCAGAAGCTGGACCTGGGTGTTGCCCACTATTAGTGGCAACAGAAGAATTTCTACATAAAAGTGGCTTTGGAGTTGCTGTTCTGCTGGAAGAAGCAGCTAGGAGCTTGTCTAGGAGCAAGGTGGGTAAGAAGCTACATCTGCATAGCAAGTGTACTTTTTTACCTTAGATTGTATCTTTATTGGGGTGGCCTTAGGGCATGGATAATAATTGAGGGAAGATAGCATCTGTCACAACTCCCCCTTTAGATCTGCCACTGTAGTTTATATCCATGTTCCTACCCCCTTATATACTTCTTTAAATGTTTTTATTGATTTTACAGAGAAAGGAAGGGAGAGGAAGAGAGAGAAACATTGATGAGAGAGAAACATTGATGTGAGAAACGCCAATTGGCTGCCTCCTGTATGGCCCCTGCTGACGATCAAGCCCTCAACCTAGGCACGTGCCCTGACTAGGAATCAAGTCAGTGACCCTTTGGTTCATGGGACAATGCTCAACCAGCTGAGCCTCTCCACCTGGGTACCCCTTTGTATACTTTTTGTAATGTAGAAACAACAGTTAGTTCATGAACAAATGAGATGAAGAAAAACTCTTATTAGAGCTAGAAGGGACCCTAGAAATCATGTGATCTGAAGGTCATACAGAAGCTGAACAAAATGTTGATAATTATTGAATCCAGTGATAGGCATGTAGGGATTTTATTATAGTACTGCCATTAGCATATATATTTAAAAGTTTATGGTAAAAGGTAAACAAAAAAAGGCAGGTAGAAGGAGGAAGGGAATGAGGAGAGAAGGAGGAAAGAAGGAAGGAGGAAGGAAGGAAGGAAGGAAGGAAGGAAGGAAGGAAGGAAGCAAGGGAGGGAGGGAGGGAGGGAGGGAGGGAGGGAGGGAGGCCTCAAGTCCAATGAAAAAAGGAACACTGGAAATTTCCTCCTAAGCTAAGGATAAAAAATGGGCACAGCCATGGACTTTGCACTCAGTCAGCACTTACATGTCTACATAAACCAGGACCCACATTCTGAGCCAAGCTTTAACATGCGGCTTTCTCTTTGTCAGGAATTGTCCCACCAACGGCCTCAGCACTTGGGAACAAACAGCCCCTTTCGAGATGTTCAGCAGTGAGGGTCTGGATCTATCCAAAGGCAGAAAATCAAATGTGAAGTCAAAATGCCCCGAGCATTCAGTGCTCTGACGATCTCTGTGCCACTAGAAAGGCAAACCCAGCACATCTGCCTCCCAGCTGCACAGCTTCATCACAGACAACCAGATGGGGTCTTGTTTTATGGATTCTATTTGCAATCATTGTATAGTCTCTATTATTTCTTGAAAATCCTTCACTACTCAGCAGGCCCAGAAATGCATGTCAGTTCTTCATATGCCAAATTAATAACCTGCCTTTTCGGATGCCAAGTTCAGAAAGTGTTTAGAAGGAAAATTAAGGGAACTTGACTTGATAAGTAGGGGGAGTTAGCTCTTTGTGGCAAACTGAAATGAATATCCACTTACTCATGCCTACTTTTATTCCAACCCAGGTGTTGTTTTTTCTCTCTGCTGCTGAGCACTTATCTGGCCATACACAGGCTGCAAACCCACTGGGAGTGTTGGTGAGGTCCCTTGGAATAATTTCATATATGGTCTAATCAATGAACCAAAAGGTTATTAAGAGCCTACTAGGTGCCAAGTACTGTCCTATGTGCTGGAAATAAGATACAAATGACCTCAAGGTCAAAGTCAAATGGGTAAGATTAGGAAAGCAGCGATGATAATACATTGTGACATGTACTGCTGGGCATTTACACAGGAGGAATCACACGAAGATAGAGAGAAAAGGCCACAAAAAAGGACAAATCATTAGAGGTGAGTCTTGAGGGATGACTCAGAGGGCACCTATTGATGGGATGGAAAGGGAGGGCACTGCAGGAAGAAGGAACAGCACGAAACAAGTCCCTGGACCACACACAGATGTGAAGTGTGCACACGCTATCCACTGGGTGAATGAGTCTCTGGGCAAACAGCATTATGTGCCTTCTATGTTCTGGTGGGGGTGGTGCGGACAGGAATCAGAGTGGCCCTGCATGAAGAGCTCACTGTAAATTCTGCTCAGGACTGCTAGGAGGGTCTCACCAGAGCTCAGGCTAGAGGCCAGGAAGCAGAAAGAGCTCTATTCCTGCCCTGGGCAACAGCAGCTCACACAGAATGAAACTAAAGACCCACAGGGTGTGAATTTAAGAGCTGGAGGAACAGAAGGGCAAGGTAAGCCTTAGGGACATTTTCGGAGTCAGGGAAGTATGGCTCTGCTGGTCCTTCCTCAACCCTGTCACTGGATTCTCCTAGATCCCTCCCTTCTTTCCTCAAATCCAGTTCTGGACCACCCTCACCCCCACAAACACACACACTCTCCAAAGACCCCACAACCTCATTTACCCTAGATCGCCTTTCCCAGAAAAGGCCTTTA